TTAAATCAGTTTAACTTGCTTTATTTATTAATTCTCTACATCCCTTTTGCTAAGTTCACCAAAATATTGAGGAATTTTGACCGTTACTGTAAATTTTGAAGCATTGCTTTTCCGCGGTTTGGGTTTTGTTTCAAAGGGATTTGCGCAGATTTGCCCCCGGAACACCCGATTTTTTACCTATACGTCGCAACTCGCAACTGCGCATGTGCCGTCAAGCCTTCAACATTATTCACGATGTAAAGAAACGAGGAGCGACGAGCATTGCTTCAAAACATTCCGGGTGTAAAAATCGTGCAATTCTTTGAGATTCTACGCAATTTATGAACTTAAGTTATGAATTACGAGCATTCAATTCGACACAAATATAATTTGGAAGGTTTATTCCATAAATAGAGCTACATAAGAGGTTAGAAAGAAACGACGCTGTGTTGTTTATGTATTGATAGATCTCTAATCTCTTACACGAATGACGAATATATATTATGTCGATAGCAAGTCGATACCTTGTATTCTGCATACAGTACATAAATGATGCTATACAAAACGGGCATTTTGTGCAGTAATCAAATCATTTTGGCGGTATACAGTATTGATTGTAAGTATATTGTTTTGTATCGATTTACGCGTCGAAGTATCCACATCATAGACATATAAATATGCACCGGTTTATTTACATTATTTACAACGCAACTATTTTGGCTATTCTTATGAAATGACGGATAAATTGTTGCCATCATATAAATGTAGTGAATGTAGTCACAGTTGTTTGACGAAGAAAAGAGACTAAACTGAGATAATCGCGCCCGGTTTACATGGCCAACTAAAATTATGATCTAATAGTGACAATACCGGTATCCGCGACTAACCTAACTTGAGTACTTTGAGTAATTTCCTTTTGATTAATGTTTAACCTAGTTCATTATATTTTTACTTGCAAAAGTCAAAATGTTTATGTTGGGAAAACGTGTTGCTTAGGTATTACAGGGCATGAAAACTTTGCACTATCCTTGGATCCCTAGTTGTTGATCCACTTTCCCTGAAGAAGACATACAACTACTGCGTAGAGTCGAAGGGATAAAAAGGTTAGCGTGTGCTAGAGCTAAACACCCATTCTGCAGTTCCACACGATTTCTGAAGCTCGCACCACAGTTCCTTGCTGTAACCATTGTGACAGCTGTCTTTGTTTTTAAATGGTGAACCGTCCACCAGTACCGAGTTTCACAGTGTGCAGGCCCCTCGACAGCACCCCCATCTACTCTAACAAATTCTATTTCTTTGTGTTCACCCGTTTGCACATTGTAAAATGCAGGTTTCAGTGATTCTTTGGTTGATAGCATTTCTATATCCGCTAGGTGTTGTGCAGCATTTTTACCATGAAGAGGGCGAGCCTTTACGATATCAGTGCATAATTCCGCTGTTGTTCTTGTTTCAGGAAAATTATACGACGTTACTTGAAGAGGTCGAGGTATATCCTGTTGCATAATCTGTTCTTATTGTCAGGGATTCAGAACCTTGAACATGCAAAGTCCCATGCTGCCTATGAGTTGCTGTAGTATCCATACGGAAACCAGCCTGATCGTCCCTTCCCAGATTTAAAACTTTCTCACCATCACTATACTGCATATCATCTAATACACCATAAAACACAGCGCTCAGTGTTTGTCGGGATTGAATTTTAGGTTGAAACCCTTCCGCGCTCTTCTTTGATAAACCTTTGCGATTCCTTTATACCTTGCAGCGGACTTTCAGTGTTTATTTCTCGCAATACAAAGTTGAACTACTGTTCCCTATGAAATTTTTAACCCAAACTTTTCTTGAAGATATTCTTTCACATGTTTGAAAGCTGGCTTTTTCTTAACTTTTTTATTTCCGTCAAATGTCATAACGCCAGTACGGCGCCAAGCATCTGCCCCTCCCCCACACTCCTGAACAAAGTTCTCGATTTCTTTACCAACATAGGGACTTGAGCCAAAATGCGTGAAATTTTTTGCTGTGTTTCCTTTTCAACAGTCGTTTTTCCATTATCTTTTTCTTGGCATCTCTTACTGCTTTTTGGCGAATTGAGGCTTGGTGCTTTGCAATCATCTTTCTGCCATTTTCTCCAAGAACGCTACTTATTCTTTGTTTCCAAATCTCTTTATCGCTACTATCTGACTATGAAACAATATATTCTTCATGCTCGCTGTTGGGTGAGGGTACTTCTTCTGAAAGTAGAAATGCACTATGTGATTGAGTTAGACTATTTAAATCCTCTTTATCTATATTTAATGATGATATCATAGTACCGAAGTCACTAAGCCGTTGGCTTACGTCATCTTTGCTCATATCATCAAACTTCGGCTGTAAGGTAAACACAAATTGGTGCCAGTTAAAGGAACAAGACTTGAGCATGTCATAAAACTTGTTGGTATCGTGCAGCAAATCGTTTATTTCAGGTATATTTTCAGAATTGCTGTGATTATCATTATTAGACACCTGAACACCAGTTGCACCAATACTGTTTATCGAAACATACGAGTCTTCTTCAAACTCTGCCGGACGTGAAGGTACGAGGGAAGGGTGAGTGTCATTTGCCTGGTCTTTATCACTAGCAGTTTCATCTTCAGATTCACTATCACCATCGACTTGAAATCCAAACAATGAGAGAAGTGCTTTATCTTTAAGGTTTGCTATCTTCTCAATCGATTCTTTTATAGCTCTGGCTTCTTATACAGGTCTGTCTAGTTTTTCAGCACGCTTTTGAATGTCACATATTCCATAATCCTTTTTTGTTTTACTGTTTGAATATTCAGATGCTTTGATTGCAACATATTTTAGCATTTCCCTCTGGGATTCAGATTCGGCAAGATATAGCAGTTCTTTAAGTTAACTTTTTGACAAGCCTGTTTCGGAAACGGTTGGTTTATCAGTCACTTTAATAATAATGTCTCGAAAACCGTATAGTTAACTGTTTCCAGTTTCTCAACAACGAAAATCTGGTAATTTCCCTTACTCGGACCCCCCACACCAACACATGCTAAAGGCTAAAGGCATACGTAGAATTTTTCTTTTCACTTGCGAGGCTTTGCATTTCAAAACAGTTGGACTGACTAATTTAAATGCAGACTTTAATGTCATAAAACCATCTTTAATAACTGTACTTGTAACTTTTATCATTCCTTGACAGGTACTGCAAGGCTGTTTATGCTCATTTTGCCAAACATAACACTTTGGTACTGTTTTAAGGATAAGCCCTCAAAATCTGAAACAAAATCGTCATTGCCTAGTTGTGTATAATAACAATTTTGTTCTGTTTTGTTGGATATAAATATCAATATCTTCCCCTCTTGGTTCTACTGCATGCCAAGAGGGGCATTTTAAAAATTGTTAAATTCATTGGTGCACTTCTGAAACTCTTCAGTGTGACATCTTTGATTTCCAACGCATCTTCGTAACTACATGTATCTGTTGGAATGATCTGAAACTCACTTTTTCGCCAGTCTTGAGAATAGAGCTCGTTTTCACTAGAGGTATCCAGTGGCAAATTTTCATCTTCACCTAATATTATGGTGTCTGCTGATCCACCAGACTCACCAACACCCTCAGTTGCACCACCCTTATCTCTCTTACTTTTAAAGAGATCTGTTATCTTCTTGGAGCTTTCACCACTTGCCGCACTAGATGGGAGTTTGCTCGACTTCTTGCTCTCTGTTTTCAAGCTTTCCTTTTTCTTATACCACTTTGATTTTGCTTCCTTTCTTTCTAATGCAGCTAACTGACTCCCATCTCTTTGATTAACGCCCTCAATTCACCGCTCACCTCATCACACGTTTTAAACTCTTTAGTGTTTTTTAATCTATTTATTCATTGTTCTTTCAAACGGATTTGATCTTCAGTGGATTGCAGTAACTTTCTGTTGTTTTCTATTGCATTTTCCCTTTCTTCAGCCATGATGTTTTTTTCAAATCTTTTTTCATGTGATCCAATACTTTTTCTTCACTTGAACTCGATAAAACAGAGCTCCGTCCTGAACGGGAGTATCCTTTCTTGAATGGATATCCATCATCCTTATCTTTCTCTCGTGCCTTTTCATATAATTCACCTATATAAAATATAATAAAACCTACATGCCCAAGAATTGCATGACAGGAGTACATTTCACATATTTTATCACACAAAAATAGCTAATGGTTTTCTTCACACATTGTACTGTGTTGGAACAAGATTATCCTATCATTCTATAAAAATAAGCCTCACCTTGCAAATAAGCCCTATGTAATGTCCCCACCCCAAATTATCTATTCTAAAAAGCCATACATAAACTTTTTAATGTCTGCAATAGATTCCAGTCAGCGATGTTTTGCAGGGGGAACGCGGGGGAACGGCGTTCCCCCACTATTTTGACAAGGGGAACGGCGTTCCCCTTGCGAAAATTACACATGGGGGAACGGCGTTCCCCCAAAACGAGATTTATAAAAGTATAGAACTCATTATAAAAGTATAGAACATTAATGCATGATCGATTATTGTAATTTCTCAACATATAGTAAAAAATATATATAGATCCGTGCTTGGTAGCCAAGCCTTGAAGTGATTCCGCTTATTCAAATTTGTTAGTATCTAGAACCTTCGAAGAACATGTAGTGCCTAGTCACGCAGTCACGCTAATGTTTTGCGCACATTATGTGGTTTCCGGTAGGCGCGCAAGGAAATGCCTGAAACTGACGAACACGGTATAATTCTGTTAGGAAATAAACTCGCCCAGTGCGTAATACTTCTCAAATATTTTACGCTAATCTTAATTGTTTTACTGCCTCTCCTTTACTAGCTAAAGTATAAAAGGGCTTGTAAATTTAGTAATAATATAGTCCCGCTAAGCACTCTCAAGAGTGACATCTCTGTAGAACGGTATTAAGTATCAACGGATTTCTAAGGAATAAAATAATATCAAAAGATATTATCGTCCTTGTGCTAAAAACACTTAAGAAATAGAATATTAGGTTTTATAAGTTGGTAAGGAAATGTCCAAACAACCTACAATCACTGGATTTTTTAAAAAGTCAGCTGAAGTTTTAGTTGCAGAAAACGAGAAAGTACCAGAACAAGCAGAACCCCAACCGGAAAATGCAGGTGAACATAGCGAACGTGTTGAAACCAACGAAATTGACGAAGCTGCAGGTCCATCGACAGCGGCTGATGTGATTGACAAGCCAACAATCTGGACGGATAAAATGTGGCACAAAAAACAACAACTCTACCCATGGTTACAGTGTAAGAATGGAAAACTTGGGTGCAGTTTCTGTATTTCCGCAAAAGATCTTGGTCCGCACAGAACACAAGGCCGTTACCTGAGTACAGAATGGCAAGCAACAAGCGTGACATATTACGGGAATTCGCAAGAAGCTAGGTTAACTTCACTCCGTAAAAAAATTTACAAACATTTAAACAGCGATGCACATAAACGAGCAGAAGAGATGGTGAATCAGCAGAAGAAGAACATCATGCCTGCGCATATAGACGTCATGAATACTGAATGGTTAGATACAACAAAAAGAGTTTTTCGCACGAGCTATTATATAGCAAAGAATGATCGACCGTTAAACGATATCGAAGGGTTAGTTGACTTGCAAATTCATAATGGGCTCGATATGGGGACTGGGCTGCATTCACGATCTTCTGCAACTGCTATAATTGACCATATTGCATATGAGATGCGTTCCACGATTTGGAAGACCATCAAAGAAAACAAAGGGAAAGTGTCTATTCTGATCGACGAGTCTACTACTGTGTCTGGTATTTCAACACTGATAATTTACTTAAAAGCTCAACTCGAAAGGTCAGGAGAAGCACAATTCTTGTTTCTGGACTTGGTGGAGTTGACAAATGGTCAAAGTGCAAAAGAGGTTCATACAGCACTACTTGCTTGTTTAAAACGGCATGGGTTTGACATGGATTACTTGCAAGAACATTTTGTTGCATTTACAACAGACGGAGCTAGTGTCTTGACTGGAAAGAAGTCGGGAGTCATGGAGCTACTTATGAATGATTTTCCAAATCTCATCACCTGGCACTGTTTGAATCATCGCCTAGAACTTGCGGTTGACGATGCGATTTCAGAATTGACGGGAATAAACCATTTTAAGATTTTTGTTGAAAGACTGTATTCAATTTACAGCCAATCGCCCAAAAATGTGCGCGAACTACGAGAAGTTGCTAAAAGTCTAGATGTCCAGCTTCTAAAGATCGGTAAGGTACTGAGTACGAGATGGGTTGCGAGTAGTCACAGGACGGTTTTGGCAGTTTGGAACAACTACGAAGCACTCTGCAAACACTTCAAAGACAAAGCAGCTGAAAAAGGTAAGAATTCAACAATGTACGAGGGGTTAAACAAGCGAATCCAGTCGGAGGAATTCTTGTTGGACTTGGCACTCATGTGTGATGTTCTTTTTGAGCTTTCTGAGCTCTCCGAGGCCATGCAACACCGTTCAATGAACATTGTCAAAGCCGACAGATGTATCAAGCGGTCCATGAGAAGCATCGAAACATTGAAGCGCAAGACTGGAACAAAGTTGATGATAGCTAAGGATGCGGTCAAGGAAGGAAAATTTGGCACTGTACCGCTAGTTTCAAATCGTAGACATGTCAATATTGATGCTAATGCACTAATAGACAAATTGCTAGATGCAATGAAAGATCGTCTCTTTGCCACATGTGCCTCTGGAACTGTTCGCGAAAGTGCTGCCTATCAAAAGCTTCTTGATCAGATTTGCTTTCTCTACCCGACTTATTGGCCACAGGATCTTGATCTAAATTATGGTGAGGAAGAGGTACGATCATTGTGCGATCGGTTTTCCCTTTCAAGAAGTTCAACAGTGCCTGCATTCCAAGACTATGTTGATAGTCAAGGGAGACGAGTACCTGACGATCTCCAGTCTCTATTGAGATGTTGCTCCTGTATCCCGGTCTCATCGGCAGAATGCGAACGTGGGTTTAGTCAAATGAACTTGGTTTGTACGTCAGTAAGAAATCGCCTACTTGTTGAACGAATATCGAATTTAATGTTTATTAAACTTGTTGGTCCTCCGATTAATGCTTGGAATCCAGAAAAATATACTAAGTCCTGGCTGCGAAAACATCATTCGGCCAGTGATGAAAGAGTAAGAAAGCGAAAGTTTGAGGAAGATGCTGAAAGTCAGCAGGAGCAGACAGCCGCAAAACAACGACTTTGGCAATTACTTTAGACATTTTAGACATAAATATCACTGATATAGAACATAGTCTTAACAAGATAATTAGTTTGAATTTACTCTTTGTATAACATGATATTGTATAATTTGTATTATATGTATTTTGGCAATGCCTAAATTGGCTATTAACTTATTACAGGCAGTTGACCACGCCCATATATAGGCCACGCCCATATATAGGCCACGCCCATTGAAATTTGAAATACGCATTCGGCGTTCCCCCACTTCCAAAATTTGCAAAACATCGCTGATTCCAGTTTTTTTGCAACGTGAGGTTAAAAATATAATGAGTGAGTTAAAAGACATCTAGTTTTGGGATAAAAACATTTTGCACTTCAAATATTAAGCAATAAACACTTAAAGTACCTCTGTGTTGTAACAACATTGGGTTATCTTTGGCCAAAGTTTGAGCAGCAGAATTTACAGCTATCTCGTATGGTTTCAAACTGGATCCTGTGTAAATTTTCGCCCCTGGCAAATCAGCATCATGTACAGGTATGTCCTGAAAAAGAATATGGTAAACTACTAAATATACAATAGCAGTACATGTGTACATGAATTAAAATATCAGGTCTGTCTTTCAAGGCATCACAGACGAGAGATGAACCAAGGTGAAACGTGCGCGATATGTGATAGTAATAAACTATTAAGCAACTATTGAATGAGGTTGAGCAGAATATGACGAATTATTAAGGCAGAGGTTTGTGTTATCTGCCAAAGCCGAAGGCTGAGGCAGATAACACAAACTGAGGCTTTAATAATTCCTCATATCCTGCGAGAACTGAATTCAATATATACTTATTTTATACTTAATTATTTGTAAAAAAAATTGAAATTAGATTAAATGCTTGCATTAGAGATTTGTATTTTCTCGCTCTTTGCTTTTGGCATTACCCGCATAAAGTAGCGTGATGTCATAGTGTGCTACAATTTTTTCAATATACCACGAAATGACGTCAAACGTGGTATAATTGTTTTCATTATACCACGGTGATGTTATAACTCCTAATTTGGGCGCTACATGTCTAATGCCAGATGATTTTACTTGCCAACGGGAAAACTCTGAAGCTTAATGGGTCAAATCATTATTTTACCAAATTTCAGTAATGCAAATGATTAAAACAACACATATTGAAAAATATTCAGTTTTCCTTAATGCTAGAGTTATATTTTGAGGAATCTATATATTATTCATTGTTTGTTATTTACTGTATACATGAGCATCTTAAAATCCACAGCCGGTGCTTTTCATGATAAAATAAAATAGATAGCAAAAGACCCCAAACTTTTGCTAAATAAAATGTTATGCTGACACTTTTAATAAAATGAAATCAATAAAAATCATTGCTTACTGTTATTCTACAATAGTTTATTTAAAGTGCCTATATCACTTGTGGAATCTTTATGTGTTTGAAAAGAATGTAAAAAGTTGGTTAATATATCAAAAAAGTTTTTTGATTTAGTGCAATAATTTTAAAGATACTAGCCTTTAAACTACCTGCAGTTCCTGAGTCCCAGGCTCCTGTAAACAATGGATAGTTTCAAATTGAATAGCCGTGTTTAAACCCAGGAGGTTGGGACTCAGGAACTGCAGGTAGTTTAGAGGCTTGTATCTTCGAAATTATTGCACTAAATGAAAAAACTTTTTTAATATATTAACTAACTTTTTATGCTCTTTTCAAATGCATAAAGATCCCATGAGTGATATAGGCACTTTAATAATCTAACAAAAAGCACACTTGCATGGTGTATAGGAAGAAACTACATGTATCACTAGTATATAAATTGTTTGTAATTGGCAGAGAAACTGTTTTTGACTCCTATGAAATTATATTATTTTGATATTGTGATTACAGAGGATCGGAGGTATACACAGATGATTTTCTTGATATCGATTCCATGGAAAATGCTGGCGTCGAGTGCTAACAATCCCTTTTTTTAAATATGCTATATGAAAATTATATTCCCATGATACCCATAAAATTTTGTAAAGGATATATTAACCAACTTTTTACATTATTTTCAAACGCATAAAGATTCCACGAGCGATATAGGCACTTTAAACTTGTATTGCATGCACAAACTGTATAAACTAACTAAATAATATGCCATAACCAAGAATACAATGAAGAATTTTTAAGTGGGTGCCTACCTCAATGGGTGGTCCAATTGTAAGATCAGTTGTGATAGTCCTTTGTTGAAGAGATTTTGTTTGTCGAATTGGAGCCTCAACTTGCACGACAGTTTTGTTCTGCTCTGTACCTGGAACAAATGAGTAAAGTATTATCTAACCTTCACTAGCTCATTGTTTACATTATCTACATGATATGAAATGCTACAGTTTATATAAACAATAGCAACCCATGTCCTGGTTTTCAACTATGCCTTGCAGTAGTATAAAAAGCTTTTGTATTAAACTACTGCAATTTCCTACAAAGATTCAAAGTTTATGACTAGATGCATTATTAATACTGCCAATGTGTTGAAGACTGCCTACTCTGTCCTAATTTGTAAACATTGTGTTAAGGCTGTGTACCTGAAACAATATTAAATAACAATATATAAATCCACTAAACTTCCATCACACTGTATCATTATACAACACTTTGGAAGGACAGGGCCAAGGTTCATTGCTTGCATTATACTTGTTTTGATTTCCTATCTGGTGTTGCCGTTGTAAATAAAATAAACTTCTTTATAAACTATTGCAAATGTCCTATTACTGTTTATGAAGATGTATATGATTGCATGCATGCATTATACCCATGGCCATGGATTTAAATACACTGTAAAGGTATAAATTTAGATAATATTTGAAGTACACACTTCACCTACCAATATTTATACTTCCAAAAACAACAACATAAGCAATATCATCCCATCCAGAAGCAAAATGGTGAGAATAATGAATCGCTAACACGTCGAACCCCACGCCAAAATTTACTTTTTGGTGCTTGATATTTTAACCCACAGGCATTGGGAAATTGTGTAACTACATTGCACAAGCTGAGACACCCATCACTTTCTGTTTCAACTTCGATGATTCCTTCGTCATGAAGCGATGAACCAATTTTCACAAAGCACTAGCACACAAATAAACATCAAAATGCATGCTTTCTGTTTTTATATGTATTTTATATAAATATGTATATTGGAACTTTTGAATTATTAATGTTTACAGATATGCATAAAATACATGTTTAAAACGCAAAAAGTAGAATTACAATAATATGCAAAGACAAAGTAAAAAGTCATTTCGTAAAAAAGTACAACAGGATGGATCAAATATCACATAGAGTTTGAGGGGATATTAAAACATACCTTTCTTTCATCGATGGAGGCCATCTTTGCTGTTTAAAATGCCGTGACAGTCTTGCGCATTTCAAAAGCCTGGGTAAGAGAGATCGAGTCGAAGTTCCCTGGGGTAAAGCTACAAATTTCAAAAACCACACCCCTGGGCAATCTTGGGATTTCAAATGCCTTACCCCTGGGATGGATCTGTCAAAATCCTTCCCCTTGCCCGGCCCCTCCCCCCTAGGGATTAACTTTGATAGGTGCATAACAAGAGCAAATGAAGCAGAACATCCATCTGTGTGCTGTTCCACCTCATCAATTGGGAAGCTCTTAAAACACAATGGGCAGTCCACTTTCATAATGGTAGAAATGTAAGTAGATGGTTGGATGTCAAAACTTCTCATCCGATACAGATAGGCTTTCTGAATCTGAATCTTCCAAGACAGCCTTCAAATCACTTATTTTCTTGTTCATAAGAGGAACAAGGTATAGCCGGATCTGGGAGTAACCAAAGCCAGAGACTGCTTTGTACCTGTTGCCGATAAAATATACATTAGTCATGAAGAGAGTCTAATGGGAGTATGTGCAAAAAATGCATATATGTATCTCCTGATGAAGGCCCTTAGGTATGTATCTCTTGATAAAGGCCCTTAGGTATGTATCTCCTGACGAAGGCCCTTAGGTTGAAACGTCGATGCTGCCATGCTGCTCCCTGGTTATGTTGGAACATAATTCTAGCAATATCCATTCCACCTTTCGTACAATAATGAAATATGTTAAATAATTAAATATAATGCCTGGGGCAAAACTGGATAAAATATTAAATATACCTCTAAAGCGTAAATGGTTCAGAAGAACTAGTTCCAGGAACAGTAGTGACTTCAGTCTCATCTTTAAAAGCAAGTGCGTATTTCAGTTTAGAATTGAAACGTTTGTTGAATGTAGCATGTTTCTTAACTGATGCATCAAGGATATCTTTTGCAGAGGATAAGGTAGGTTTTTTAAGTAGAAGTGCATCGCCTCGTTTGATCTTTGTGGAATCCTCCATCACTGCGATTGTTATTTTCACATGGTTGTTGTTTGGCTTCGCTCGTTTCGAGCCCTTCTTCTGCACAAAGAAAGAACTACTTTCCTTTTCCTTGGCAGTTTTGAAAGCAATAAAACTGCTGAGGGTCATTTTCGACTTTGCTACACAAGTCGTTGGTGCTTCGATGTTCTAGACGCATTAATAGATGTAGCCTCGCTGCCAGTTGCTCTTGAAGCATCTGGCATCACATTGAGAACAAAACTTGAAATTCGGTTCAATAGTTGAGCCGCAACTATGACAAAACTTACCGATCCGTGAACCTTCCATATCAAATTCGAATCCACCGTCGAATCTGGTCCTAAAAACCGCCTGAGAGTACAGAAAAACGTTAGATCTCATGACTGACGGAATTCCATTTCTAGCAAATACAGATTTTGTATGGTTCACAACAATTTTGCTGGTGGTGTTTTCCAATTTAGCGATTTCAACATAATGCAAATAATAATCCACCACAATAAAAAAATCTTTCTGCTCCCACTGAAACAAATCAGTCGCAAACATTTCCCAAGGTCTCGATGGTATTGCTCCTAGCATCATGGGTTCTTTGGGATTGGACATTTGGTACTCTTGACAAGCTTCACATTTGGATACAACAGCTTCAATTTGTTCATTC